TTCATGCCAAAATTTTGTATGCGAGTAAAGACTTCCTCCAAATCACGAAAATGTTCAGGTACATCGGAACTGGCGATGATTATATCGTCAATGTATGCAAAACAGCAAGCACGCAATTCTCTAATCAGAGAATTTGCTACTCGCTGGAAGGTTCCTGGAGCACCTTTTAATCCTTGAGCCATAACAGTAAATTGGTAGAGACCTATGAATGAAGAAAATGCAGTACGTTCCTTGTGTTTCTTTTCTAGTGGTATTTGGAAAAAACCACTTTTAAAATCAAGAACACTGTAAATTTCTTTTCCGCTAGCTAGATCCAAAATATCTTGCATATGTGGTATGCAATAGGTCTCTGTTTCAGTAATGGCATTGATTTGGCGGTAGTCAACGGTAAATCGCCACTGATCTTTATTAGATCCTTTCTTTACAAGAACTATTGGGGAAGCGAACTTGCTGGTGCTTGGTTCGATAATGCGAGTACGCAACATTTCTTCAATCTGACGTTTTATTTCGTTACGCTTTTCCAGTGGGACACGATAGGGTCTCTGTTTTGGAGTTTTAGCATGAGGAACGAAATTTATGCGATGTGTTATAGGACCTCTATATAATCCTAAATCGCCATCTTGAGTGACAAAGCAAGAGCGAAAGTTTTTCAAAAGTTGGAAAAACTGTAATTGTTCTTGTTCAGCAAGTATAGATTTGTCAAAATGAACTAGTTCTTCAATCTTACGTTCTTTTTCAGATGGAAAGGACGGCATTGTTTGACTGATATCTACTTCTGGTGGTACATATTCTTCGAGTTGAAGCGGTGTTAATGTGTTTTCTGATCGCTGGATTGAATCCACCGAAAAAATAGGCGGCCAAGTCATGTCTTTGCCGACATAGTTAGCTTTTGCGATTGTTTTGTTATTATGAAGTGATATAAAGGACGGGTTGGTATTGAAAATTCGCAATAAAACTTGACTATTGTTGTCGGTGCACGATAATGTTTTACCTATTGCAATTCCAAACGGTAACGTTAGGGATAAATCATCACAAACGAGAAATTCCCATTTGCTTGGAAAAGTTCTATGCAAGGTTCCTATAACGACATTATCGGACATTGGCGGTAGAGTAACTTTTCGGCGAGGAATACCGGTGTCTTATAACTGGTTAAATCGGGTTTGTCTGGAATAATGATTTGTACCGTAGTATTGTCAAAAGAGACTGTCTTCTCAGAATAGTCTATAGATACTTTGTTACCTAGTTTGTTGATAGAATCATTACCTAACAAAAAGTCTGTGGAACAGTTTTCGTCCGAAACAACAAAACTAATGATGCTTACTACTTTATCGGCTACGGTAAGTTTAGTTGAAACTTGTCCAATGAAGTGAATTGGAGATCCATTGGCAGTTATGCCTTCTGGTAGAGTAGTTTCAGTAATAATTAAATTCGAAAGTGTAGCCATTCGTTCAGATAAAAGTGTGATGGCTGATCCTGTGTCAAAAAGTGCTACAGTGGATAAGTGATTTAGCGTAACTGGAATAAAGATAGTAGACATTGAGTCGAGTTGAACGGATGATACTCTTGGTTTGAATTTAGGTATTTCAAGATTCAATGGCTTGGCAACTGTTTTGGGAGGCACTTTTGGTGCTTGACTTATCAGTCGTGTTTGGCTATGGCAGATGTGCCATTCCGCATAAATTTACTCAAAACTTGTTGTTCATCTCGAAATAAAATATGAGCTAGCTGTTTTTGATTATACTTGTTTGAAAGACTTCTTTTGGATCTTAGGGAGTCTTGAAAATTCGGTTTCCTTGTAGCAAGTTTGTCAAAAATGGAGTACACTGATTCAAGTGTTTTAATACGTTGATCTTCAGATGAATCTTCACTAGATGGTGTGGAAGTAATGAGATTATTCCTACTTTGATAAACGGCGTTAAATAAATGAAGCATTTTTGATGCATCAATGTGTTTTTGGTTGATATCTTTGATCATTTGTGGGAATTCGGTGAACATAGTACGTGGATTATGGTTTGGAATTTCTGGAAGTACAATAAAAACACCATTATCCATTGGTACAGAACTGTTTGGCAAGCACCAACTTGAAATTTGACTAGAGGTTAACGTTATGTTACTGTATGTGAAAGCAGATTGTATGTTATCAACAACTATATGAGTTGGAGTAACATAAGCAATTCCTTGCGTCGCTTTTACATACTTACAAGCAAAAGGATCTGTTTCTCCGAAATCCCAGATTACTGTGCCATGCGACATTTTACATTGTTTATCTTCAATGCGACATTGAGCCATATCACCAAATTGACTGATGATTGTTTTGCCGTCAAAAGTAGCAATATCAGCTTGTTCTATGTACACGTTTGTTGTGAGCGTGCATTTTTCACCAAAAAACCAAGGATACGAGTAATGTATGGCGTTTTCCGAGCCGTAAACATTATTTGATAGCTTTTGCATAGGTATGCCCAAAAATTTCTTTGTTTCGCTAAGCGACTCACACAGTGCAAAATCTACAGGAGACATGTACTCGTCGTCACTGTTTACAGAAAAAGATATGTGAAAATAAGACGACGCACATATTTTCCTAGTCTTATTAAAGCAATGGAACGCAGGTAGAAGATAAGGTTCAGTGCGTTCTACATAGATTTGCGCTGTAGTTACCAAAATGTTTGTAGAATTTGGCGAGTGTGAACACGATGTTGTTTCTGGATACGCGACAGGCCAACCAGATTTTCCCGCAGAGCAAAGTTGATAAGTTTGCAGTGAAAGTGCAGAAGTATTAGGTAAAAACAATGAAAATAGTGCTACAACAAAAAGTGAGTATGAACTATTAAGTAGTCCAGTGGAAAGGTTTGCTGAGACTGAATTTACCGGCCTTTGGCGTTGATTACGATTTTGGTTACGATTATTTTGATTTTGTCTATTATTCGAAAAATGAGGTGATTGTCCTCTTGGCCTGTTATTGGAAAAATTTGGAGGTGTTCTAGATCTCGACTGTTGACGTCGATACGGCGATTGTTGGCGGTGATTTGGTGATTGTCGCTGATGGTATGGCGATCTACTGCGAGCTCTATCAGAACGATCTGATGGAAGTGGCGCAAATCTAACGTTGCGTCTTTGCGGATATGGAGAATTTCCAAAAAATGAATTTGGAGAACGAGCGCGCTCATAACTGCTAGATGTTGACGTGTAAGGATTTTGCGAGTATGGATGGTTGTTCCATCTTTTTCCACGGTATGGTCTATTAACCATGTTAACAGATGTTCTGGGCATTTCAATGTTATCTAATATTCTATCCATTTTGGCTAGAATAGTATCATTCGCAAAAGATGAAGTATCCGACTGAATGAGACCGTGAATACGTTCGGATTCTTCTATAAGTTTTTCATGGTCAGTTGGAAGTGGACCCAGTAATTTGAGTTTTTGTTTGATTTGGTTTTGCAAACCATTCTTGAAATGTGTCGTTAGTAAAAATTTGCGATTGGCGGCATCGCTATCGCTTGGATATGCTTCAAGAATTTGTTGTCTAAGTCTATGGGAAAAAAGTGTGGGAGATTCTCCTGGAATCATTCGCATATCCATCAATTTTTCGCGAGCAGAATCCAAAAAATGGTCTGTTGAAAAATGGCTTTTGAGTTTTGCGATGATTGTTACCCAGCTATTTTTGTCTTTTGGCGTCATGTTGTCATAAACAGCTTTTGCTACACCTTTCAAATGTGCTGGGAGTAAGTGAACCATTTTATTGCTTGTTAAACCCATTATCGAAGAAATTTCTTCAAATTGCGTGATAAATTGCATGAGACCTTTAGGTCCTTGATCTCCAGAAAATGTTGGTAATTTGCTACCATATGAGGAGAGAGTTAGTTTATCAAAAAATGTATCTAAACGATCTATGAAGGCTACTGCTTCGGAATGTTGATTTTGAGGCATTGGAGTATGATCCATTTGCGTTATGGTTTGATTTGAGCAAACACTTACAGATGGCGAAACGTGTGAAAGATTGTTAGCAATTTGCTGTGGTAGCAAAATTTGTTGAGGTACTATTGGCGAAAGAACTTGTTGTTGAACGAAATTTGAGGAGTGTTGTTGAGAGGTTAGTGCTTGTGCTTGCTCTTGGGTTATAGGAATGAAGAATTCCTCTTTTTGGGATACAAAAACCTGAGGTTGATTTTGAGTTACGGGGATGAAAAGTTGAGCGGGCTCTTGAGCTGCAAGAATTGGAGTTTCCTCTTGAGTTACCAAAGTTTGCGAAAGTTCTATGGGAGGAGTAGAGACTCGAGAGTTCCCTGCTCTTGGTGATGAACGAAGAGATGAATTATCTAGAGAAACTATCGAAGAAGCTTCGGTAGGAGCTACTGAGGAAACTTCAGTAGGTGGAGAAGCTACGCGACGTTTGACAGGACTACTTGATTTATATTCACTACACCTTACTCTATGAACTTTATGCGATATACGCGAATGAGATCTTGGTCTTCTTTTAATAGTCCCACGCTCGGTTGTATTGCAAGGTTTTGGAGACGCACAAGAACTAAGTTCAGTATCAGAACTGTTCATGTAACAGTAACACTTTCAATGATAATGTTTTCCAAAAAAAAAATTATTTTTTTTTTCAACAAAACAAAAAAAAAATTTTTTTTTCGAAGCTCGATCGACTAAACGTGAAGGCAACCGCAAATTCGTCGGGTGACAAATGAGGACCACTATCGACACGAATGGAAGAGAGTATCGAATAACCAAACGTGAAGGCAATCACAAATTCGGAGGTAACGGAAAAAAATTGTTTTGAGAAAAAAAAATTTTTTTTTCAAAGTACAGATATTTCTGTACTAAAGTTTTTTTTTTTTTAGGAATTAGGACAACCGAGCAGATGGTTAGACGCAAATGTTATGCTATAAATGTATAGGATCGCACCTGTGTCCTAATCGTTGTTTCACAGGTTGCGGTTGATAGGCTAGATCCAATGTAGAGGCTACAATGAACAGTCACATAACGTGGTCCTTCACGATATGGAAGAGGAGATTATGATGGCAAACCTCTCTAGGAGAAGTGTGACGAGCTCGTACATTGATGTACAAGGGGATGGACGAGCTACGCTCACTTTATTGATGTCCGATGACACGCATATTAGCGGTTAGTTTGGTCTAATAATCATTAGATTGTGCAAGGTAATTACGATTCTTTCAGGTGTCATGAGGACATCGGATGGTCGACCCTTCAGTTTCATCCGAGACTGCGAGGATAATGTGTGGAAGGGCGACCATGAGGGCCTTTCCATCGGATTTGGTCATCTCACGATGACCAACACTTGTGGAAGAATTCCACTATTGCCTCGGTTCTCGGCTATGCTGGAAAGAAGTTTGGATAGGACTCGAAGTATCCGCTTCATCAACTTCGATGACACGGAAAGAATAGCAACGATAATGCAAGAAAGTCGAAGAATATTTATGCGAACTTAATTGCCTTGCCCTAATGATGTTATTGATGTTTTCTATTTGTTCATAAAGTTTTTGAACTTAATATGTTTTGTTATGTCGACAGCAGAAGGTAAAATTACGATAAAATAAGTTGCGTAAGATAAACTCTATCGGGTCAGATTATGCACAACTGTTGTTGTTACTCGCGCGTCTCGATCGTAAAGGATTAGGTTACGCAATTAATAATCCTGTTCTAAGGTTTATCGCGACACAGAGCAGACGCGAGCATTGCGCTAATCGCGGCTGTAAGGTCATAGCGCGCAGATATCAATAATCTGTCGCGAGGTCACATGCTTACAACATACGAGGGCCGCTGCGTTGCTTTATCGCCAAAAAGGAGGTCACCGCGCGCGGACAGAAGCACTGGGTTTCGCTACATTTCCTGAGAGGTCGAAGCATTACGATTGGTCGACACTTCCCAGCAGAAGTTATCTGCAGTGGGCCAGCAGATTTATCTTTCTGGGTCTAATACTGCAGTTTTGAATTTTTAGCTAGCGATTGCGAACAAGTCCATTGTCTAATTATAGAAAAAAAAAAGAAAAGTAAGAAAGTTAACAAAAGTTCACGGATTCACGGATCACGGATCACGGATTCACGGATCACGGATCACGGATCACGGCTGCTAAATGCGCTTTTTTTTTAAATTCACGGATTCACGGAATCACGGAAAATGCGAGCGCTTACGAAAGAAAGAGATTGACAAAATGGGACTGTTCGCAGGACTGTATAAATAATTTTTATTTTATTTTATTTAATGATTTTTTTTTCTTTCTGAAAAGGTTAAATATTTGACACACACAGAGATTAGATATTTCACTCACACAGCAATTATATTTGTGCAACATAAAAAAAAACACTCACACACAATTGTTCGTTGGTGACGTCCATAGCGATCGATCGAATTGTAGAGGGGGGGGGGGTAAGAATTTTTTTTTTCCATATCAAAAGTTGAGGAGAGAAAAAAAAATTATTGTAAAATTCTAAAAAAAGAAATCTTCCCTGGGACCTCCATGTCAGGTTAAAGGGTCGCGATTCCCTTTCCTGATGTGTAGCGGTACAGGTAGGTGTATATATATATATTTATTATTTACATATTATATTACAATAAGGGGACGAGGGGGAGAGACTGCAGAAGCAGCCTTACGGTGCACGGTCGTAGGGGGTCACTAATCCTGACTGGCTTCCGTGGCCAGCCCCCGGGAGAGCAGCTGTTTGGGCTGAGCTGAGCTGCGTCCCGACAGTGTGCTCGCACAGAAGGTGAAAAAAATTTGCGCGTCAACAAATAGCTTCGACTGTGGCGCTGACCAACTGCGCGCGCCAAATGCCGGCAATACTGGCATGGCTATTTATTCCGAGCAATTTTCACCGTATTTCACCTTCTTGCAAGCACACTATATTAAGCGGAAAATCTACTCGACTGTATCTTTGAAAATCCGCGACTCATACTCGGGAGGAAGGAGGAGGAGGGGAGGGGGGCATCAATGCGCCACTGCTGTTCGTATCTTTAGGACTGGGCCAAATCGCAGTCTGTCTGCCTTCATAGAATGGTGAAATCCTTATAGTGGATTTGTAGAACATAACATGTTAGTAAACGGAGTCGGATGCCTTGGGTTCTTGCGAAATGGTTGTTGTTCGAAATGGTTGTTCAACTTCTTTTGCAGATGTAAAAGAGGGGATATACCGTAATTCGTAATTCTTTGATGGATCTCGAACCTTGTATGGTAGATCTTCATAAAAATAGCTGCTCCAAATGATCTCGTACTTTCAGTTTATCCTCCGAAATAGTGAAGGAGCTCACAACAGTAGACAAAATATGCGGAATTGTCAACTACCGGAACGGTTAAGGGTATTACGAGAAACTTTTTGATGTTTTTTATCGTTCTACAAGGTATGACTTGCCTTATAACATCGTTGAACTCTAAGAGTGAGGGAGGATGGTGAAAGTCGTTTTAGTAGCCGCTCAAAAGTGCAGCTTTCGTCTAGAGGAGAAAAATTTCGGACTCAGGCATTGGTCAAAGAAAATTGCCAGGACGAGGTTGCCAGCGATTTGAATTGCTAAATGTGTAACAGTAATGGCAAGCGATCCTAATCTTGTTCTCCCCCCTAAACCCAAGTCAAAGCCAGCTTCCTTTGACAAGCTGAGAACCATCAGCTTATGTCAAAATCTGGTAGGTTCTTTGGATGGGACCACAAACCTTGATTGAGGCAAAGACCAAAGTTCATCCCGTGTCGGCGATCATGTGCTTCCACGACTGCAATGTACGGGGAAGTACAGTATGCGGTAATCCAGTTCGTCTACTTGTCCATGCTTAGAACGGTGGGCCTGCACTTTGCCATGCAATACTCTTAAAGTTCGCTATTTTTTCATAGTTGAAGCCGGTTTTTGCTCCGTACTTTAGCTCGTCCCTACTTTCTGGTCAATATGAAAAGGGATCCAATAAAAATTTGTCAAAATTTAATGGATCTGGTTGTTTCATTTGACGGTTCCCATAGCGCATCTTACAACAATATTGTACGCTCCCAATATAAGCAAATGTAATTATTAAGCACTTTGAAAGGACAATGAAATTTAGCCGGTGGGTATGTTCTGTTGTATTTGTACGCGCAGAAATGAGTAAAAGTGACCTCGAGCGTAATGGTTATAATGGCTATCTAAGCATACTACAACTATACGCAATTGCAAATTCTACACATGTCCTTGTTGTTAGAAATAGATAGGAAGCTATCTAACAGTTTAAAAATGGAACAGAAAATATCGTACTTGGGTATGTCAAAGGTCTCTCAGAAGTGTCGCCTTAAAATTGAGAAAAAAGATAGGAACAAAATGAAAAGAGATGAACAAGTTCAGAAGTGAGTTAGTGAGAGCAGTAGATGATTTCAAGCTTTTCTTTCGTTGGTTACATTTGTGACATGTGCAAAGCAAAAAAAAACTGGAATTTTAGCAGATGTATGTACTCAGCATTACAAGAAAAGCAAGAATAATAGAGCGGACTTCAGTGTAAGTTGTAGAGTACGATGAAATAACGTTGTATAACAAAAAATAATTTGTGTTATCGTACTTACTTAACTACAAATCATAAAAGAGTAACAATTATACGCAAATATTAACCAGAAAGTACGTGCAAAAACTGGTTTTCATTCAATCATAAGGTTATAGAGATGACACATATGTACTCAAACTTGCACATGTGACTTGATTTAAATGCGTCCTTTTCACTAAGGATGATTGTCTTTTTGATGAACTTGTTCTCTAGAAATGTAGAAATTATAAGATCATATTCGGAAGACACGTTGTAAAAAGAATGACGTTTAGTGAAGAAGCATGCACTAAAGGACGTTGAAAGACAGAAGGTGAAATTCGCAGCATAATGTTGGAATGGTATTAAAGCGTGCACATGTGAGTGTTCGGGTAAGGACATTTCATAGAAAATGCATTAATAACATGTGTATAAGCTGCATTATAAATCATATGTACCCTATTGAAGTTAGATTAGTATATATTACTCGCAAACAGGAGTGAAAGTGCTTGATAATAGTACAAATGAACTTTTGGGCATGATCAATTGAACTGAAGATGTTAAGAATCGGAGGTCAACGAACATATTTGGCCGCGAGTAATCTTATATATAAAGCTGAATGTCTGTTTGTCTGTCTGTATGTCTGTATGTCTGTCTGTCTGTGTGTACGTATGTTCCGAATAGAAAATTCCATTTCTGAACCGATCCGGACCAAACTTGGCACACATACACTACGGGCCCCGGCGGGTGTCATAGGCTACTTTTCGTCATCGATCGATATCGATTTTATCGATTTTTATCGATTTTTTTGCTGAGTTCACCTACGGGGCTGGGAGTTTGCACAGGGGGGTAATCGAGCATGGGGATTCCGAATACAATATTGGTTTTCAGGATTATCGATTACTTTTATCGATTTTATCGATTTTTTTGCAAAGTTTGAGCTACGGGGCTGGGAGTTGGCACAGGGGGGTAATCGAGCATGGGGATTCCGAATACAATATTGGTTTTCGGGATTATCGATTACTTTTATCGATTTTATCGATTTTTTTGCAAAGTTTGAGCTACGGGGCTGGGAGTTGGCACAGGGGGGTAATCGAGCATGGGGATTCCGAATACAATATTGGTTTTCGGGATTATCGATTACTTTTATCGATTTTATCGATTTTTTTGCAAAGTTTGAGCTAGGGGGCTGGGAGTTGGCACAGGGGGGTAATCGAGCATGCTGATCATCCCCAAGGGGGGTGATCAGCATGCTCGATTACGCCCCTGTGCCAAATTCCAGCCCCCTAGCTCAAATTTTCAAAAAATCGATAAAATCGATAAAAGTAATGGACGATCCTGAAAACTAATATTGTGTTCGTAATCAGCATGCTCGATTACCCCCCTGTGCAAAATCCCAGCCCCGTAGCTCAAACTTTACAAAAAAATCGGTAAAATCGATAAAAGTAATGGACGATCCTGAAAACTAATATTGTGTTCGTAATCAGCATGCTCGATTACCCCCCTGTGCAAAATCCCAGCCTCGCATGTCAAACTTTGCAAAAAATCGATAAAATCAATAAAATCGATGATTCTGAAAACTAATATTGTATTCGGAATCCCCATGCTCACTTCCCCCCCTGTGCCAACTCCTAGCCCTGTAGGTGAACTCTGCAAAAAAATCGATAAAAATCGGTAAAATCGACATCGATCGATAACGAAAAGTGGACTTTGACACCCGCCGGGGCCCGAAGTGTATGTGTGCCAAGTTTGGTCCGGATACGGCGGAGCCGGGTAAGCCAGCTAGTACAACATAAGAAATGAATGATTTTCCTGCTTTTTGTATCATATAAGAAAAGCTTGATGGATTGATTTGATTTGTTTACTGAGCTCAGCTTTTCTGAGTCATGTAATTGATAATGTTTCGATAATGAAGCCACTGATTATGAAGAAAAATTTTCAAGAAATTAGTGTTTGATTATAAGT